GGAGAAACATCCCTTGGGGGTGAGGGACAGGGGTCCCATAGCTTCATTTTTGGTCCTGGGATGAGGCTGATGCTCAGGAATCCCAGGGGGAGTCTCTGTCCCGGGGCAGCTCAGCCCCCCATCACCTCTGGGTTCCAGTCAGGGCCTGAGGCTGATCAGTACCTTGATCCGGGTCCCCAGGCTCAGTGCTGCTCCCTTGGAGCTCAAGGCCCATGGGGGACATGAGACACACCCTCCCTGTGCTCTCAGCCCCGGGATGTCCCTCCCTCAGTCACCCCATTGACAGCTCCAGCCAGGCTGCACTCTGATGGAAAGTCTTCTGCCCCAACCCAGGGCCACGGGGCCCGTTACCTCAGGGACACCTTCCCCCTTATCTCCACCTTGCCACCACTCACATGTGGGACCTTTCACAGAAACTTCTGGGTCCAGTGACCTTGTGTAGTAGTCATGGGTGGCTGAATGAATAAAGGTTCCATCCTGAACATGCTGGACACAGTTTCAGGGACTAGAGCTGTTCTCACCCCAGGGAGTGGTCTGACCCCAAATCCCTCCGTCCTGAAAGCTCTGTCTGTGTTTGGTAATTTTTTCAGCAGGATGGTTCTGAGTTCATGGGAACAGGCCCCTCAAGGGGTTTCACTGGGCACCATGTTGACCTTTCCTACCTGGGAGACCAGACACATGGTACAAATAAGTGATTTTAGACAAACACTATAAACCCGTATTCTCCTGAGAACAGAAGGCATTTCTGTACCAGTGTTTTCTACCCAGATTCTCCCGCACTAAGCACAGATTTGGGGAAAGTACACTCCTGATTGTACCTCTATCTTCACACTGATATTGTCGTTGAGTTTAAATGAATCTTACCGAATAAAATTACGTATAAAATACCACATGTTCATCGTAAGTACGAGGTTGGCTCCGTGGTGACTGACACAAAAACTCTGTCACTAGGTCCTGTCAGAGCATCTACAGCTATCACTTCTTTCTTCCCAGAATTTCCAGCCGATTTGCCCTTTGTGCTCTGAGGTCAGCGACACACGCACTCACGTGGCAGGGCTCCTGCAGACTCGTGTCTGTGCTGGGAGGACAGAGCCGAGGAGGGAATCTCTGGCCAGTGTGTGGACAACTGGTGCTTTAAGCAGGAAGAAAGAGTGACGGGTGACAAAGAGGCTCCGTGTGTAACCCTCTAAGAATGCACGTGACGGCCTCTACCCACAACCTGGAGAGAAGAGCTCCCCATGTCCTCAGTGCTGTGCGGTGTACAGAGGAAGGAGAGCTCTGGAAATCAGGGAGAAGGCACATAAGACGAAAGTCCCAGCATCTTGCACAGAAGTGAACCTTTGTCCATGGGGACCCATCGCTGCTCTGGACTGGATCATGATCTAGAAGAGTTTGTGTAGAGACATCACCTCAGTCCTGATGCAGGAGTAGAGAAGGAAACCATGGACAGACTCATTCTGAAGACTCTTAGCAGGGCCTATAGTGAGTCTTGACTTAGTGGGAGGTGACATATAGGGACATCTG